CTTACATACAAGAGAGTCACCACCTACCTACTTCCGCACAAATAAATTTACTTCTGCTTTTCAGGAAATTGTTGATGCATATGGGTAAGTTTACAATAAGACTGTTTGACCTGATACTGCTTTGTTTATAAATAAAAAGAAAACCACTATCTGTCAAAAGTAATACCCATGAATACTCTGTGTGTGTGTGTATTGTAATTGATATATCTAATGTGTAACATGCACACACATTTTAGTTATTTTGTGCATATTGATGTAGACTTTTAATTATCTGCTTGCATATAGCATGTTATGTCCCAGTTAAATACGAGCATTGACATCCTTCAGACCCAGAAATTAGGAGTACCCATTCTATATGTTGCTTTCCACTGTAATTCAATGCAATGATTTTTAGAAGGGATGAGATCTATAGTACAGCCTGTTGATATAGGGAGATAATTGTAATGGATAGATTAATAAATTATTGACTGCAAAGCTGCATGTGTTTAGAAAGTAGAGAATCATGGTATAAGAGCTCTTCCTAATTCATTGTAAATATCCTGAAAAGATATTTAAGGTTACTATTGAAATCAAAGAAGCAATTTTTTTTGGGCCAATTGAGAAGAGATTGTTCAGTATTCATTTTTGTGTTATTTTGGCCTATATTTATATATTTTATATCATTATTGTCTATTCAGTTTTTATTCCTTGTCGTAAATTCACCTTATTATTGGCTTCTTGTGTTAGCATCCTGTTTGGGAGTATGTGTTTGTCTGTATGTTTTGTATCAGTGTTCATGTGTCAATTTGCCCGTAACAAACAGAAACATAATGCACTTTGTTGCATTTAATTGCAGGGTGGCAAAGTATCAGGAAGCAAATCCTGGTGTATACACTATTGTTACATTCCCTTTCCTTTTTGCTGTCATGTTTGGTGATTGGGGGCATGGAATATGCTTGTTACTTGCAACATTATTTTTTATTGTCCGGGAAAAGAAACTTTCTAGTCAGGTAATCTCTTGTGATGATGTAATCAACTTTTCAATTTATAGAACCTTACAGCTTATATGCTGGTATGGAAAACAATTTGAGGACATATCTATTCCTTTTTTCTTTCTTTTTTTTTTTTACTTGCTGTTTATATTGCTATTTCTTTTTGGGTCTCATCAATGATTAAACTGCTGAAGGAATAAGATTCAGTGATGTTTTAATTGGGCTAGCAAAGTTGTTTATAATCTCTTAACTATTTCTTATTATTTTTCCTAACGTGGTAAATAGATGCAACATGAGATTATATTTCAAAGACATTTTTTGCTTTATTTTGTGAACAGAAAATATCAGTAGGGGTCGCATTAATGTGTACTATGAACAATATCATATCCAGGATTTTGTGGAAACATGACCTTGCCATGTCTGTGGTTTTGGTTTGATAAGTTACCTTACAAAGTAAAAGTACCTGTTATTATTTTATTATGAACTAGCTTATATGAACAAAAACATATATTTTGCGATAAAATAAAAGGTCATAACAATATGAAATAAATAATTATTTATATAGCTTTAACTATTTGAATTTGTTTAACAAACAAATTTATTTTTTAAATCTTTTAGTTATTAATTTTCATAATGTTATTATATTAGTATTTTTTTTATTTTGAATAAGCTTGTATGAAGGTAAATAATTGTTCTATGACAAAACAAAAGGTCATAATGATTTGAAATATATAATTGTTCAAATAATCATAACTAGTTGAACTAGTTTGGTAAGCATATTTATTTTTTAAATCTCCAACTTATTAATTTTTGAAATATTAATAAATTAGTATTATTTTTATTCTGAATAGGCTTGTATCATGAAAACAATTGTTTTATGATAAAATAAAACTTCATAATGATTTAAAATAGATAACTGTTCAAATGGTCATAATTATTTTAATTGATTCTAGAAACTGATTTTCTTTTTTAATTTCCAACTTCTCAATTTTTGAAATATTAATAAAATAATATTATTTTATTTTGGGTAAGCTTTTATGAACTAAAATAATTGTTTTATAAACAAAAGATCATAACGATTTTAAATATATAATTGTTCAAATAGTCATAATTATTTGAACTTGTTCAGTAGACAGATTTATTTTTTAAAATTTTTTTGCTGATTAGTTTTTTGAATGTTAATAAAATAGTATTATTTTATTCCAAATAAGTATGTATGAACTGAAACAATTATTTTATGATTAAACAAATTGTCAAAATGATTTAAAATAGATAATTATTTCAATAATCTTAACTATTTGAATTAGTTTGATAAACACATTTATTTTTTAAATCTTTTGCTTATTAATTTTTATAACATTATTAGTTTTGCAATATTTTTCCTTATTTGTAATCTTTATATTTATCTTTTTTGGTCTGCTGTCCCTATGGATGGAAACTAAGTAAATTATAATTCTTGGAAACTGCAGAAGCTTGGAGATATAACAGAAATGACCTTTGGTGGTCGTTATGTTATTCTGATGATGTCACTCTTCTCAATTTATACTGGGTTGGTCTATAATGAGTTCTTCTCTGTGCCTTTTGAATTATTTGGTTACTCAGCTTATGCTTGCCGTGATCTCTCTTGCCGGTATTTCACTTACACCTGTGATAATACCAAATGTTGTATAAGCTTCCTAATTCCTATTATAGTATAAGCCCTTTCATTACAGCTTTTTGACTGCCTTTTTGCAGGGATGCATCTACTGTTGGTTTGATTAAGGTGGGTGACACTTATCCATTTGGGGTGGATCCTGCATGGCATGGTACCCGAAGTGAGTTGCCATTCCTGAACTCGCTGAAGATGAAAATGTCAATCCTTCTTGGGGTGGCTCAGATGAACCTTGGAATTATTTTGAATTATTTCAATGCCACATTCTTTGGTATTAGTCTGAACATCTGGTAAGTTTGATATGCCAATCAAGATCTTAGCTTGCTCTGATATTCCAAGTTTTTGCGTGACTGCTAAATAAGGTTGCCTTTGCTCCTGCATTACTCAGGTTTCAGTTTATTCCCCAGATGATCTTTTTGAACAGCCTATTTGGCTATCTGTCACTCCTTATCATTGTGAAATGGTGCACTGGTTCGCAAGCTGATTTGTACCACATAATGATATACATGTTCCTGAGTCCTACTGATGAATTGGGTGAAAATCAGCTTTTTCCTGGGCAAAAAACTGTTCAGGTCATTTATCCTTCTTTTTATTTTTTTAAATTTAACACCATTCACTGAGGGAATGCACATCGAACTTAATATTCTTGTGCATTTCTTTCCAGCTTGTGCTATTATTACTTGCCCTGGTTTCTGTACCATGGATGCTATTACCAAAGCCATTTCTTCTAAAGAAACAACATGAAAATGTATGTTAGACTGCTCTTTCTCAATTTCTAGCTGAACACGTTTTTAAGTGTTACTTTCATCCTCTATCCATCATTTATTATATGTGCCTTTTCTTTAGAGGCATCAAGGTCAATCATACGCACCACTTGAAAGCACAGATGACACTCTCCATTTAGAGGCGAATCATGATTCCCATGGTCATGGTCATGAGGAATTTGAGTTTAGTGAAGTCTTTGTGCATCAACTCATACATACCATAGAATTTGTGCTTGGTGCAGTTTCAAATACAGCTTCATACCTTCGATTATGGGCCCTCAGGTATGTCATTAGTAATTTAAATTTATGCTTAGTCTCAACTGAATTTGGCTGAAATAACACCATTTCCAAGTTTTACTTTTGGTTTGAGTTTCAAAAAGATTTAAGTCTTTGATGAGCCTCGTTTTCTGCATGCGCATCCCATGTGTTTGTCTAAACTCGTTGAAAACACCATGAAGATAAATTTTCTTTTCTGCCCGTATTGCTAACAGTCAGAGTGTTCTTTGACACACATACCTGATCTTCATAGAGAAATTGCTATGTGCCTTTCAACATCTGTTCCCCAAGAATAGGCTATAGTCATTTATGCATTTCTTCATATGTTCTTTGTGTTCTTTTTCTATGAATGTAATCTAATTTTAGTAAAGCCTAACTGCAAATTGCACCATGTTCTTTTTCTTTTTGCAGTCTTGCTCACTCAGAGTTGTCAGTTGTGTTCTATGAGAAGGTTCTTCTCCTTGCTTGGGGGTATGTCTCGCACATTATCTTATGCTTCTATATGCTCAACAAGCAGAACAAAACAAATCTAGGCACCTTGTATCTTATGATATTGCTCTTATGACTCTTTCCATTTCTTGTTCTTTTTCATTTAATGAGTTCATAGATCTAAAGTCTAAAATTCATGGACCTGTGGATATGCATGATGAAGCTGTGCTTTTTGCTTGCTACAGGTTTAACAATATAATCATCCTTGTTGTTGGCATCATTGTCTTTATTTTTGCAACCGTTGGTGTGTTGCTGGTTATGGAAACTCTCAGTGCTTTCCTACATGCTTTGCGACTTCACTGGGTTGAATTCCAGAACAAATTCTACGAGGGAGATGGTTACAAGTTCTATCCATATTCATTTGCGTTGCTCGACGATGAATATGATTGAAGCCCTGAATTGAATAAAAAAAATCATGTTGACGGAGTTGAGTGCAGACAGGTAAGAAGTTATGTTGATTTTTTTTTTTCATTTGAAACATGACGAGAAAGTTGATTCAGGTGCGCACCTTGTAAGGCGAGTTGAGGAAGCTTTCTACAGCCTGAACGCTACTTCTTTACCGTCCAATTGGTGGTTGTTTCAGTTTGTTATTGGAAGGAGTAAGTGGTCTACCGGTTGGGCTGGTATCTTCGTATGTGGCAGAAGCTATGTAATAATACTTTTAATTTATTTTATTTTTCTATCTAAATAAATATTTTTTTTAAAAAAAATTATATCAAGAACTCATATTGACAATAAGATATATAGGATAATCATATTCTAAAAAAAGAATATACTAAAAACTCGATGAGAAAGGTTAATTAAACTTGTAACTTAAATTAACATTGCATTCGTTTCAATCCATTCAGAAACATAGGAAATTTAAAGCTTATGTAAACATCAAGTTCACAAATAATTGTAACATGATATATACAAACAAACTTAATGAACAACTTACACGCTACTGAGAGTTGGTATTAACGGCAGCAACACTTGATACCAGAGAGTCTACTCCACAGATATTTCGACCCCTGCAGATTTTGTAGAATCCATTCTCTCCCCAGGTTTCTCCCCATGAGTTCTTAATTACCCAGTATGGTTTATCCTTCATCCGGATTGGTGCATAGCCAGCTGAACCATAACCCACCAACAATACTCCATGATCAAGGCGCTTTGAGCAAATGTAAGGGCAAGAAACTCCCCCAATGTATGTCTGCATGAACACTGCATTGATAGCCACTGCATTCAAAGGAAGAAAGTAGAAACAGATAAGAAAATTGAAAACCATTAATTATTGCCAATTAATGACGCTTTTACGTATAGGAAGAGCTAATTTTAAATTAATATTACTGTCAATTTATATTGATTTTACCTGCAAGAGGCCCATTCTTCACAAGATTAGCAGCAATTTGATCCTCATCCAGAGAAACAACACTGAAGTTGGCAACTTTTGCAGCAATCTTGGTCTTGTCAAATTTGCATGTCCCACGATCAGTGCCAGTGTAGGGGTAGTCCTCCTCAAGCATAAGTCCACCAGCTTTGAGGGTATACTCAAAAGCACTATTCATAAGCCCACCATTGCATCCAGAATCACAGGCACCTGCTTCTTCCGGATCACACTGCAATCATTATACAATTACCCTTAACTGTTATTCTTTCTTAATCATTGTATTTGGAAATTAGCATTGCTTCAATTACCTCAGAACCTTTATTATTAGTAAAAAAAGGTGAAAAAAATCGAACCTCATGATCACAATCTACGAGCTGTTGCTCGCTCAGGCTCACGAGTTTACCGGTCGCCAAAAAATGAGCACCTTCCAAGGCTCCTGTTGTACTAAAAGACCAGCATGATCCGCATGAACCCTAATCACCAAAGAAGCAAAAAAATAAAAAAAATAAAAAGGCTTCAGTTCATTTAAAAAAAAAGAACCAAAATTTACAAAGGTCAACATTTTTAACACTAATAACCTGATTTTTAACGGGTGTAACAGCTCCTTTTTCTCTCCAGTCAAAATCTTCGGGCAAATTATCTGTTGGCAAAATCGGTGCCTCAGTTGCATCATCAGGCAGTCTCAATCTCCTTAATCCCAAATATGTGTTCCTAAACTCGGCCGGAGTCAAATCGGAGAACTGAGTCACCCCGTGAGTCGCAGATGGGTCAAGCTTCTGATGACGCGCAGCACGTCTCAGGTTATCCTGAAAAACCTTGAACCTGTAATCGTGCTCCTCCTGTGACCCGTACGATTTCTTGAACCGTTTCTTGAATAGCAAGAAGTGATGCTCTGCTGCTGTCAGGAACTGCGGATCGGCTCCATCGTCACCGTTCGTTACTTGCCTGATCAACGGATCAACTTCCGATCCGTCGGCCGAAAAAGTCTCCGCCGTAATCACGCCGACGAATAAAAAATGGGAAATAACAAAGAGAGAATAAGCAATGCGACAATCCATTTTTTTTGTTTCCTTTTTACAATTGAAAGTTGAAGTTAAAAAGAGAAACGAAGGTGCGTGCTTTATAGGCACATGTCATGATGTCATCATTCGAGGGTATTTTAGGGATTTGAAAAGGGCACTAAGGTGTGGGGGAAAGGGCGGCCAATGGAGGAAAGACGCGGTGGAGTGGAGTGTTTGGGTTGAATGGCAGTTGCTTTGGGTTTTGGGCTGTCCTGTTCGGTAATGGCAGGATTCCATTGGAATAGCGAAGAAGTTGGGTTCGTTGGATTTGCATTGGGGAGTTCGGGGTTACCTTTGACACTATTGATTTCTTGTAATAACCTTTTTGACAGTTGTCACAGTTTTGTTTGCCTTAGCTATTAGATATGATTTGATAATTTATGTATTGTATATAAATAATTTTAATATTAATATGATATGATTATTTAAATGATTTGAATAATTTAAATATAAATATAATATGTTTATTATATATGTTAAAAAAATATGATATGATTAATATATTTAAAATTAATTTATATTAAAATAATATGATATAATACGATTAATATAATTATATATAAATAATATAATTTATTTATTTAAATAAATAATATGATTTAAATTAGTATTTAAAAAATTATTTAAATTTTGAATATTTAAAATTTATTTAAATATTAAAATGATAGATAATTATGATTATAAATTTATTTCTTAAATAAATTAAAATAATTTTTAAAATTTTTTATATTATAAACATTATCATATAATTATTGTTTGACAATAATACGACACAAATAATATCATGTTTTAATCTTATCGAGACGATTAAAACACGAAACATGATTATAATAAATTCATATATAATTTTTTTATGTTATTTTCGTATTGTTTTTAAAATTATCAGGTTTAATTAATTGAGTTTCTTTTATTATATAAGATATAAAACAAAATTTTTTTTTTATTTTTATAAACAAAATTAAAATAGAAGAATAAAAAAATTATAGAGATTAAAATTTAAATATTAAACAGATATTAAGAATGATTGCATACATTAATTGAACTAAATACTAAATTCAAAGAAAAATATTTGTTTATCTTTTTTATTTGGTTTGGTAATATTTTTCCATGAATATCTTGATTTATTTTTTTGTCAATAACTAGGTGAGTATGTTGGCTTGATATTTGCTATATGAATTAGTTAGGTTCATTCACGAATCGTGGTACCAAACATTGCAAGCAAATTGTTCATACTATATATATTTAGTCATAATTTTAGGATAAGGTAATCCCGTGCAAATTGCTCCTTGTCCGCCAAACGAAGAAAAATATGACCTACAAGTTTCTATTCAGTCTACCGTTTTTTTGTCCTTTAGCATTATGCCAACTTTTGTATTTGCTTAGAGACTATAGCCGGTTGCTTGCACCATCGATCGGAAGACGAAGACAATAATGAAATAATGACACTAATCAAATCCTTGTGGTTTGGCAGAAATTTGGGGTTGGCTCAAAAGCCCATGGAATTTGTGGCCCCATTCATTGCAGACTCGCAGTTTTGGTCCATGCTTGATTTGGGCTGGGAGGACTAAGACCCGTAACAAAACAGCCTAAGTTCTTGAGCAAGTGTGAACCTATAAGTGTTCATGGGCTGAGTTTGAATTATGCACATATTTGATATTAATAATTTATATAATTATTTATGTTTGGTTTAATAAAAAATTTTGAGTTTCAAAATTTTTTCAAGCTTAACTCTAATTGAAAAGGTAAATCTCAGGTCCACCCTTAAACTTAATTTATATAATAAAATTTTTTTTAAAAGTGATTAAATTAGGTTTAATAAGATTATATTCAATTCACATATATTTATATATATATATAAATTAAAAATAAAATTTATATATATAAAATTTAAAAATAAAAATTAATTTTAATAAAATATATATTATTTTTATTTTTTATATATATGTGAATTAATTTATATGTAATTCACATATATATAAAAAAAAAATTTATATATATATGATTTGGGCCAAGTTCAAACTTTAAATTTATTGTCCAAATTTCAGCCTAAATTTTAAATGGATCTAAAAATTATACCAAAATCTATTTAACGAATTTTAATATTTAATCCAAACTTTCTTAAAATTTAAGTGAGCTTTCAGATTTAAATAGATAATCCGACTCTTGAATAGGTTTATGTATACCTAAGCTTAGTCCAAAATTTTTTGATCATACAAAAAATCATGAGATTAACTTTTTTACATATATATAAAGTATCGAGACTTGAATTTAATTATTGAATTAAGAATTTAATATTTTATTAATAAATTATATTTTATCGATCAAAATAACAAGATTAACACCTTCATCATTTCCTTCTACAGAATAGCATACTAGTACTAGTTCTAAAAGGCCTCAATTTGTAGTTAAGCAACTAACATTAACCTTTGTGGAATTGCAATCAGCCAATCAACTTTGGGAATACCTTTTGTCCTTTCTTTTGCTAAAGATTCCATACTATAGCACCGTATACTAGAACAAAGAAACGAACAAGTCTTAAAAGTGTGACAACAATTGGAGCCATAATGATTTGTATTCGAGGTTAAGTACTAATACGACAAGTTCACTGTACTCAAATTTTATATCAAAATTGGCTTTTTTTTTATATTTTTAAGCGATGTTTGGTGCATAATTATTTTATGTTATATTTGGTTTCTATATAAAAAAAAATGATAAAATTATATAAATAGTGATTTTTAATCTATGATATTAAATTTATATATTTAATTATACATTTAAATTTTATATAAACAACTTAAATTAATAACTTTAAGAAATAATAATTTTGACTAATAAAAAATTTATCTTATCATAATCTTTGTATGTGTCATAGATAATATTATTTAATTTAATTTTTTTCTTAATATCATATTATGTTATGCTATTACAATCTTATACATTAAATATATAATTAATTTATTACATTAAATATTCATTTGGTAGCACCATAAAAGGTTTTCTCACGCTATTAAATGAACTCTAAACTTACATTCCAAAATGAAACGTATAGCCATTGACTTTCATTTTGTGAGAGATAAGGTTAACAAATGTAGGGTTGAGTAAATTTTGGTTAAAACCACAAAAAAAAGAAATCAAATTTTCAAGAGAAATTGAGTTGGGTAATTTGGGTTATATAGGTATTTTGATTATTTTTTCAGTTTAAATGATTAAAACAGTTTGTTTTTGGTTTTGCAATACCTAAATTGAATAAATCAAAATACTTAATATAAAATAAATAATTAAAAATATATATGATATGAATATACTCATGATACAGGTGTACTAAATATAAAAAACAAATACTTAAATTGACTAACCCAAAAAAATTGACTGAAATCGATTACTTTGATTTGATTTGATTTTTTTTTAATTATATATATATATATATTAATCAATTTGATATTTTAAAAAAATTAAATCGATTAAATTAATTATTCAATTTTTACGATTGAATTAATTGAACCTACTTTTTACTTAATCTTAAACAAAAACTTTTTAAAACAAAGCTGATGCTTTGACAAAGCATTTGGTGAGACAGAAGTCTCTTGAGTTAAAAATCCATTTAGGATAAGTGTCTTAAATGAAAAATACTCTATATTGTCAGGATAATACTAATTTAATTTTAAGATAAACATTCAAAATTTTTATTTTAAACATATATCTTTAAGAAACTATTTTGAATTGAAGATAAACACTAAAGACTCTTATTTTAATTACATATTTTGATTTGTTCTTGGTCAGATTATATTTATTGGACTTTCAAATTATGATGGCATTTTTATTTAAAAAATTTTTGAAATATTTTTATATTAATATTTAAATTTAACTTTAAATAAATAATTTTTATGAATAAAAAAATCAGACATCGGGTCTTAAAATTTTTATTTAATATTTATGTTAAATATCAAACTTAAAATCAGTTAACAATAAACGAAGAAGTCCAATTTGAATACAAAATTAAAATTATATATTTATTAAATATAGAATAACCCATTATAATATATTCCATCATGTGTAGGCAAAAATATAATAAACTTATCGCGTGACAAATTAAAAAATAATAATAAAAGATATTTTAGCTTGATATTTGATATCATATTAAGTATTAAACTTAAAATCAATTGATAGCAAATTGAGGAATCAAACTTAAATATAAAATTATAAGATATTATAAATTTATTAGATGTAAATTAATCTACTTTAATAATTTGATATGAGTTGAAATTCGACTTATGAGTTCAACAAACAATTTAACTCATAAATGAATATAAACATGTGTTTTAAATTTTTAATAGATGTTCATTTATTATTAATATAGTTAATGATAGTGTCTATAGACATAGATTTAAGTTAGTTAATTATTATATAATTACTACATTAAAAAAATAACTTTCATTTTATGTATTACTCTTATCAAATTCAAAATTAGATAATGTGTTAATGACATTGTTGTTTGTATAAATGTCGTCTAACATTTTCCTTACTACATATGGAGTACATATCATTATGCCATGGGTGGAATGATTACATTCTAGATTTTCTTATTTTCGTTAAAAGCTCAATTAAGAGAATAAATAACAAAAATCACTCATTAATAAAAATAATGAATGAAAAAAATTATATTTGATAATTTGTGTTATCATATCATATAAAATATTATATTCGTATCATATTTTATATAAAAATTACATATTACAATTTGTATCGACGTAAAAATATAAAATATATTTTTTAAATTTTGTTAAACTTATTTATAATTTTTATTGAAATTTTAAATTATTTTATTTTTATTTTTTTATTTGTATCATTTTAATATATAATCATAGTATTGTATTTCAAATTATCACATCTAAATAATTTTTTTAAAAGTTATAATTATATCACTAATGTTTTTTGTTTTTTAAAATATTTGAGTGATGTTTTATATTAGTATTAAATTAATAAAAACGAAAAGAATGAAAGCGTACTCAATAATTTCAGGGCATAAAAAAAGGGGAAAAGTCAGTGCATCCAACATCCAAGATCTGACGGTGAAAAATCCGATTGCATTTTGAACAGCAAGCATCCTAGCACATAAAATATCAATTTTGCGGAACGCCGAAGTCCAAATTGTTTTCAATTTGCAGAATGCTAAAGTCAACTACAAATTTTTTTATCATTATTATTTTTTTAATATTATATTTTTTATCCAGTTTTCGTCAATATTACGGCATTGCCCATCTCCTTATAGCTTTTAAAGGGTTGACATCCAAAACGTTCCGATGTTTGTGTTGGTATATAATTTGAATATTCTCTCGACAACAAATCGAGTACTGATTTTGATCGCCCATTGGATTCCTATAAAATGCTATAAATTAAGAAGAGTGTGGCGTTGAAAATCAGAAAAAAGATGGGTTCTATTTCTTGTTTTGCAGTTATTGTTTTGGCTTTGGTTTTGAATTCAGCAGTATACTCTAATGGAGGAAAGACTAGCGTCTATGTCAGGAAAGTGGAGAAAGCTGTGGATATGCCTCTTAACAGTAATGTCTTTCGAGTCCCTTCTGGCTACAATGCACCCCAACAGGTGCTTCCTCAGTTTCTCCGACTCGCAGATTGAAAATATCAAAAAAAATTTTCTAGCTATTTTTTGGTTTGATCTGTTTTTATTTACTTGGTATAAAAACTAGAAAAAAAAATTGTTGTTATTGCTTGTTTATTGATATGAATTTTTAAAAGCGTTCACATTGATCTGAATTGATTTTATTTGGATTTTTTTGGTGTCCTGAATTTAAGGTTCATATAACACAAGGAGATCAGGTCGGAAAAGCTGTGATAGTTTCATGGGTGACTGAGGATGAACCAGGTTCCAGTACTGTGCTTTACTGGAGTGAGAACAGCAAGCAAAAGAAAAAGGCTGAGGGCAAAGTCAATACTTATAAGTTCTACAATTACACCTCTGGTTACATTCATCACTGCACCATCAAAAATCTGGAGGTAAAGTTGAATTCTTTGTACTATCCAATTGTTTCATAGCATTTGCTACATTCATAATTTCACTGTTCTATTATGTTTTATTGCTACAGTACGACACCAAATATTACTATGTAGTCGGTGTGGGTCATACTACAAGAAAATTCTGGTTTACAACTCCTCCTGAAGTTGGTTCTGATGTGCCATACACCTTTGGTCTCATTGGTAAGTTAAAGCTTGCTAAACCAGTTTGATTTGGTCAAGGCAATGCTGTAAATATTCCACTGTCGCCATCAATTCTCATAGTTCAAGAGGTTACAAGTTTGAATTTTGATGTTCAGATGTGCTGATGTATCTGAATTGGAAATCATTATGCAGGGGATCTAGGGCAGACCTTTGATTCAAATATCACTCTCAGTCACTATGAACAAAATCCACATAAAGGTCAGACAGTATTGTATCTTGGGGATCTTTCTTACGCAGATGCCTATCCCAATCATGATAATGTAAGATGGGATACATGGGGAAGGTTTGTTGAGAGAAGTGTTGCATATCAACCATGGATATGGACTGCTGGAAATCATGAAATCGACTTCGTCCCTGAAATTGTAAGCATTCATTCTTTTTTATTGTGATTAATTTGTTAAAACTATGAACTGTTCTCCTACGAAATCCGCCATTTGGAAGTCAATAACCATCCTCCACCTCCTTTGCTTGGTTACCAATGCCAAAGGGGACATAGGAGTTACAAGAAAGCTATGTCTCTGGGGCTAACCTACTCAAAAAGCAGTGCTGATTTGTGTCATCTTTATTTTTCTGCTTTGTCCTTGAACTCTCAAAGATTTCTGGCAGAGTAACTTGGTAACAACATGATTATGGTTCTATTGCAGGGTGAAACAAAGCCTTTTAAGCCTTACACTAATCGTTATCATGTTCCTTATAGAGCGTCAAAAAGTACTGCTCCCTTTTGGTACTCAATAAAGAGAGCTTCAGCATGCATCATAGTCTTGTCTTCATATTCAGCCTACGGTAAAGTATATTTATATTTCACGTAATTGTGGACTTGAATGGTGTTGCAGAGATATGTGCTGGATTCATCTTGTAACTATCTACAATTTTTCCACAGCTAAATACACTCCTCAGTACCAATGGCTTGAACAGGAGCTACCAAAAGTTAACAGGACTGAAACACCGTGGTTAATTGTTCTTATGCATTCCCCATGGTACAATAGCTACAACTACCATTACATGGAAGGAGAAACCATGAGAGTAATGTATGAGCCATGGTTTGTGCAGTACAAAGTTGATGTTGTATTTGCTGGTCATGTCCATGCCTATGAACGATCTGTAAGTTCTTTGTCTATGTTATGAGGTTCTGCAGTACCATGTGTGATTTTGTAGCTGCCTCCAGATTCTAGAATCTGAAGTTTCTACAAAATTTGACTACACAAATTACTTCATTCGCAGCTTTTAAATTCTTAACAGATCTGTTGAATGCTGGAAATTATTTCATTCACAGTTTGTTCTGAAGTTGCTTCTTGATACAGGAACGTGTATCCAACATTGCATACAATGTTATAAATGGTATGTGCACTCCTGTGAAGGATCAATCTGCACCTGTATACATCACTGTAGGCGATGGAGGGAATCTTGAAGGCTTAGCAACCAAGTAAAACTGTTCTTATATTATATACTGGCCTTCTTGTGTGATGGTTTCGTGCATGATTGTTAGAAGCCTTTGATGTTAATGCATTTTTTTTTTTTATTTGTAGTATGACTGAGCCACAGCCAGCATATTCAGCTTATCGCGAAGCCAGTTTTGGTCATGCCATTTTCGGTATCAAGAACCGGACTCATGCTTATTATAGTTGGCACCGCAACCATGATGGATCTGCTGTTGAAGCTGATTCAATGTGGTTTTTCAACAGATTCTGGCATCCAGTTGATGAGTCTCCAACCTCTCATTGATAATAACATGCCCTTTTCCATTCAAGAAATTTTCTTGCACCCTTTTCTTAAAATAAAATACAGAAATCAATAAAAAAAATTCCAATCTTTTTCTTCATCTTTCTTACTTCACCATTTCCCTTTCGGTGAATTTTGTGTACTTTTGGTAGTATAGGTTGAGTAGCCGAGTAGACACTCCTCCATGCCTGACTTTTGCTTGGGATAATGTTCAAATGCTCAGTTCTAATTTTCTCAGAATTGTCGTATTTTTAGTGCTAATGGAAAGTATTATATTGAGATATTACAAGAAAAAAATTGTAGTAAAATTATTTTTTAGAGTAATTAAATTTTTTTTTGAAGAGATTATAAAACCAAAGACCAAAAAAATTAAATTTATTATATTGAGATATTATAAGAAAAAAATTTGTAGTAATATTATTTTTTAGAGTAATTTTTTTTTTGAAGAGATTATAAAACCAAAGACCAAAAAAATTAAATTTTTAAAAATTTTTATATATGCAACTGTTGCACAAAGTATGCTACCAAAATACATTTTTCTATTAATTGAAAGAAAATTTGTCAAATAGTCTTATAAATTTAGCTCAATTACTATAGCATACGAAATATAATTCAATCACCATAAAATTTTTTTTTCTATTACTTGAAAGAAAATTTGTCTAAATAATCTTATAAATTTAGCTCAATTACTATAGCATACGAAATATAATTCAATCACCATAAAGATTTTTTTTTCTATTACTTGTAAGAAAATTTGTCTAAATAGTCTTTATTAATGCTATTACTATAAAGATTTGATTTGATTCTTCTTTTATCATTGAAACAATATTTTAGCTTGAAACTTTTTAATTAACTGTAGCTTAATTTTTTCCTTTAAAAAAAGAATTGGGAATCGAATTTAAAATCTTTATTCAAACTAATTAGTATATTTATTAAAAAATTTATAAAGATAAAAATTATATTTGAATTTTTTAAATTTGAAAGGAGATATGTTTAGATTATTAGAAAATGTATTTTAAAAGAACTATATCTAAATCAGTTTTTTTTTAAATTAAAAATAGATTTTTTAAAAATTCAATTTAAAAGAGATTTATCTAAATAAAAAAAATTATTTTGTACCTTGATATATTATAATATATATATGAATTTAAAGATAAAGTACTTTTATTTTTTCAAAATTTAATCATTTCAAAGAGAAAAATAAAAACATGAAATGGGTCTCTAGAGATGTAATCGAGTCGAGTCGAATCAATACAGTGAAAAACTCGAGGTTAAGCTCGACTCACAACTTGAGACTCAATATTCGACTCAAATTCGATCGAATTTTATTTTTCAAGTTTGAGCTCGATTCGTGACCGAATTTAAGCTATTCGAGCTCGTTCGATTAAGCTCGATTAATATGCAAAAATAAGCTCGATTCGTATACTCGATAAGAGTTCGATTATTTATGCTCGAGCTCGAATTTGAATTCGAAATATTTTATTAATTAAAATAATAAAAATACATTTAAATATAAAAATTTGATTAGACTCAGGAGTTACTCGAATCGGATATAAAAATATTCGAATTCGATTCAATCGATAAATCAAGTTACTCAAATTCAAACTCAACTAAATAATAATCGAATCGAATTTAAATTTTTTTCTAATAAACTTAAATAATTTGTGAATATTAAGATATCATTTATATTCTTAATCTCGTCTACTTAAAAGCGAGAAAAATGGGATTGGACGAAAGTCATCGTTAAGGGAAGGCCGAGCTCAACAACCGACATTACTTAGAAAACACGAGGCCTGTCAGGTAGGACAACAACGCAAGGCAACGATGATTTCTTTTAATAACTTGATTAATATATTTTTTAATAAAATGGAGGGAGCTGAAGGCGGTTCTTGGGGGCGGGTTTATGAAGGGCAAACTAGTAAAAAACAAAGTCTTTCTTTCTTCGTTTCATTTGATTTGATTTGAGATCCAATTCCAAATTTCAAAGAGTAGTTTTCAACTTTCGACATCCCAAGCGCCAAAAGGTCTTTGTTATATTCTACTTACAAAAATATATATATTGATATATATATATATATATATATCTACTCGTTATCCCCAATTGAAGCACTAGGTAGTTCCGGATCATCGACCGGTTTGTCTGATCCACGTGCCCCGTTGATTTTCGGGTGAACGGTCTCTTATGAAGGGGCCGCACCAAGTCTGATACAACGGCGGAAGGTACAATCACGAACAACTGCTCCAAGGAAGTTGGAGCCATCGAAACTGAAAATCACAACGGTTGTATCAACAGCACTGATAACGATACCAATAAAATCACTATAAAGAAAGCGAATGTGAAGGATCCGGGAATTTTCAGTTGCTTGCTTCAACCGGTGACGTCCTATTCCGATCCCGATTACATCGGCATTCGCCGAGTTCTTCTTGCTCGCAAAGCGGAGTCCGGTATTCATTGCCGACTTGTAAGCTCTATTTTTCTGTCAATTCGGTTGCGTTTATTTGTACTTTCTAGTTGCGGATCTGTGTTTTGATTGTTCGAGAGCATGACTTTGAGCTAGTTTTAGGGGAATTTTGGAGCCAGCTTTAATATTCATTTTATTTGCATTTAAATGGAAGCTTTTAACTTATTTTCATTGTTTTTGTTTGAAATTTGGCTTGCTTCGTTGATTAATGCGAAGGATTGGAGATGTAACGAAAAAGGTTATGTGGCGTATCGAAATTACATTCGTCGGCCAAGAAACTGGGAAAATTTACAAATACCAAGCCACTTGATCACTCCTGGAAACAGGTATTTTAATTTATCCAAAACCTGCCTTTCTTTATAACATCATGAATTGAGGCTATCAAAGTATCAATTGCAGTCAAATTTGTTAGATTGAATATATGGCAGACTCGTAATGGCTAGGGTTTAAGGTGTTTTATGAGCAATCAAATGCTAATTTTGTGGGTTTTATTTTAAAATTTATGTTGTTATACGATTCTGACATCAGGATAATTTACTGGTTGATGCATTAGTGGGCGATGGATTTTAACTCCAAGTCCACTCTCGCATTTATTTGAGGTGGAAACCTGGAACTCTAGCAGGGTATGTACAAAATTTATTATGCAATTTTCATTCTAGATCAGTAAGGGCATGTGGTTATATTCTTAGTTTGCTTCATTTATTGCTACTTGAAATCAGCCAATAGTTCTTTTTTTAATATAATTTTTCTCACTTTTAAAGTTAACTCATTCATCATGTTCTTGATGATGAAAATGAAGGAACAGAAGATCTTAATTTTCTTATCCATTAAAAAGTAAATGTCTTGCATGTCAAATGCTTGAAACTTAATTGCTTTAATGTTGCAGTTCTTATAAGACTTGAACCTTGATTGAAATAGGCCTTTAAAAGAATTGAGAAGAGTTGCATGCTTTTCCAACCTTGCAGGATTTACGAAGTGGCCCTCTGGCTTCAAATCATAGAACAAGTTTCAGCTCTAGCACAGGTGATAGTGATCACCCATGTCAATGAGGAGTTGAACCTGCATATTCTTTTGTAGGAATGCACTGCATCTTTGATCAGTGCAAAGCAGCTGGTACCTTCCTTTTATAAATCTTTACTGCAAGCTAGACTTCTTTCTTCTTTGTCATACTATTTTGAGTAGTGAATTTCAATTTTTCTAAAATGAAGCAATATGATTGGTCTTATATGCAGTTACAGTTTTGAAATTTGGGCACATGAATTCTGATCTACTTGCATATGGGGCTTCAGATGGGACTTTAACAGTTTGCATTGTCTCTGAACCACCTTCAGTTATCAAGCAATTAAAAGGGCATTTGAAAAATGTCACAGGTTGGATTTACTGGTATTGTTTCTTTAGTCTTTCTTATAAGTTAGACTAAAGTATTTGTATCCATGCTGTCTGCAAATTTCTTTCATTTAATGAGATCATGGTCAAGTTCATGTTTGATTTACTTGGTCCATTCCATTTTCTTTATTTTCTTTTTGGAGTTTTTGTGGAATTGGACCGAGTCAGAAAGGTAGCCACTTCTACTCCATATTGTGAAGGATCTTTCACAGTTTAAAGCTGAATCAGTGAGATACTGGAACATCTTGTGACTGTTATGAAGGGCAGCTCAGTAGAATAACTAGATTGCAGCTCAGAAGTTCGTGAGAGTGAGAACAAAATATGGCTTGGTGGGAATAAGTTACTAAGAAATAAATCAAGGTGGAAGACTTTCAGATCTTATTTATCTGACAAATAATTTGCATTGGAGTGGGTTCAGAAATGCTGATCATTTTGTATTTACCATGAACCTTTTTTCCTACAGAAGGGGGAAAATGGTCTAAGAGGTATATCTTTGAAGCATCCATCATTATGGTACCTAAGATGGCACCTAATGGCTTATTGTGGGAATGTTCTACTCAACATTATCTTTAAACAATTAGTTTTAGCTATAGATATCCCTCTTGATATAAAATGGATGCTAATTTACATGTTATACAGTGCTGATAGTCTCATTAAATTTCTAGATATCCTTGAATCATCCATCAAACCTAAGATGGCACCTAATGGCTTGTTGTAGGAATGATACATTCAACCTAATCTTTAAAAAATTAGTTTTAGATATACATATCCCTCTTGATATAAAATGGATGCTAATTTAGCTATTATACATTGTTGATAGTCTCATTAAATTTCTAGATATCAATAACTAAGATTGAGTTTTATTTTGATAACTATGTTTCTGGAAGACTTGTATCTAGTATTTATTAACCAACGTTTCTGATTTGCCACTGCATTATCAGATTTTGACTTCTCCTCAAACAATCAATATATAGCATCATCATCAATGGATAAGACTGTGCGAGTATGGGAGTTATCAAAAGGCCTTTGCATTAGAGTAATATATGGAGTCTCATCACAAATGTGTATTCGTTTTCATCCTGTAAGCATATATCAGCATTAATAATTCATCCCTTTCAAGCCATGGAAAATTTTTATGGTTATTTCGTCTGCATTTGCTTGTTATCTAATATAATCTAGAAACAAATGCTGTTCCAACCTGTGAAAAAGAACACTTGGTTTATCTGGACTAATTTTAATTGAGGCTGGAATTAATTGTTTACTCTCATGTAACTATAATGTATATCTTGAAAAAATTTTGCAGATATACAGGTGTATGTATATTTAATTTGAGTTAACTGGTAACTAAAATTTTTTTCTTTCTTCTTTTCTTGGCTGCAGGTAAATAACAACTTTCTTTCAGTTGAGAATACAAATAAAGATATCACTGTAGGTACTCCTCCATGTCTTTTCTTATTATGAAAATTAAAAGACAAAACGTAGTTACCGCTCGTGACCACAATGTGAAAAATAATCTGTTGATCATCTCAAGTCAAACTTAACAAGCAATTAGTTTGGTTGATGTAATATGCTAAATCCTGTACACCAGGTGTTCAATTTCAGCACCGGGAGGATTATTACCAAATCTGTCTTTTGACAGTGAGGTTACCTCAATGGCCCATGATCATGCTGGTCAGCTCATTTTTTGTGGAGATGCAAAGGTCTCTCTCCTATGTGTCTGTCATAATCAGAGAATCAAAGAAATTTGGTATAGTTTTTCAGAAAGTTTCTAATGAGATAATATTTTGCAGGGATGTGTATACTCCGTGAGTATGGACTCCTACACAGGTGCATTATACCGATCTCATTGTTATAGAAGTAGCAATAAGCAGAAATTTCCAGTCACAACCGTGCAATACCGAAGTTTCTCTTTGCTGGCCTGGGGACCAGTGTTGCTGGCATGTACTCAAGATGGAAGTCTTTCTTTCTTTAGGTTTGTTCAGAGCAGCGTGCCTTCTACTTCTAGTCTTTATGTCGTGTAACTGATAGATGGTTACATAGATGGTATGTTCACATTGCAGTGTTTCTTTGGAACTACGAGGTTAGCTGACCCTGCGTTGCTCTCTCAAATTAAGTCCACAAATACACAGCATTCGAGCATCCTTCTGCCCTCTGCTTTCCCTTGACAAGGAAGAATATATAGGTTTGTGTGTCCAATTAAATTGCCACTTAGAAGCATTTGACCCCAATCTCAAATCAAGAAGCATTTTCCAAAGAATCTTACACTCGACCCACGGGATTATTTTAGTTATATAAGTCTGCTGACATTGTGGTTTTTTGTGCTGTGAAGTTGTTGGGAGTGAGGATTCAAATGTCTGCTTCTATGACTTAACTCGGCGAGGCATACATGTGTAAATAAGCTTCAGGTTCTAGTCTCCTGAGTAGCAGTGGACACTTCCAATTTCTTTGCTAATCTACTGTTAACACGCGAAATCTTTCGTGTCTGCAGGGTCATCGTTTTCCAGTTATAGTAGTAGCTGGGAACCATGGAGAGAATTTCTTGGCTTCGTCAGACCTTTATGGCGTTGTTATAGTGTGGAAGAGAGCAAAAACAAGTTAAAGCCGCCAGTACATTATACAGCGATAAAAGTTAAAAAGCTTTAAAACACATACATGCATGGGCTGAAGAAGGAAATCAGCTTTGTTCACTTGGTTTGACTATGCTTTTGTTCAAGGGCTGAACCCTTCGAACTGCCCCGCATGATTGCATTTCATTCCACTTTCTGCGGTTGATGAGGAAATCATGTGTCATTGTTTGACCCAAATTTTGTATTCATGATATTTTTATTTCATTTTGGTTTTGAGGAAATCAAAAAAAGAAAAAAAAAAAAAAAAAAGGGCCCAGTTGCTATAACGCTTCTGATTCATAGGAAAAAGTTTAGTGTTGATAGCTAAAGAGTTGAATTACCACCATTGTAATTGTTTACTTGCGTCGGCGTGGATTGAACAGATTTCTGACACCTGCATAGGAACCTTGCCAAGTGGTCGAGGCTGTCACCTGTAACGTGCAAGCTTAGCGTAGAATAATAAATCCAAACCACGGTCAGGGGAAAAGAAGACCTAATATTAAGGATAATCTGTCTTGTTGATGTGACTCACGACAGTAGCGTTGTTGTTAGGATTGATGGCTACAACCGTTATTCCACCAATTTGATATTGCCAATACCCATTCGTTCATCCGATTAGTGGAACAAAGATAACGATTCCTCTCGTCCTTTATGCGATATGGTTACTGGTCGGGATTCTTTTCTCTATAATCAGTTCAAATACGATAGAAAAAAATATATATGATACGAAAAATTACATAAAAGTGATAATATTTAAAATTTTAATAATAATTATATATTAATTTAATAAAATTAAAAAATATATATTTTATATTTTTATGATTATTAATTTTAATATATATTTTTTATATAAAATATGATATAAATATATACATTTTAATATCTTATACAATATAAATACACAAATAATCATATATAATTAAAATTTATTTAAAACAATAGAGCAGCATTTGATGATGTTAAAGGGTTTCCTTTTTAATAAATCCTTGATAGTAATTTAGCATAATGGAAATTGCACTGCCAAACTTCGCAAAGATAACAATAAGGTCATTCAGTTTGCCAAGTTTTGAACGAAGACACATGATAAAACCCAGGAATCTAAGGCACTTTTATAAGCTAAAAACAGATTTTGATTATAGACAACTCTAATTTATATACCACAGGGAGAAAGAGAGAAAGAGAGAGGGGTGGGGAACCTATATGGCTACATCATGAGATTACATCCAACCAAACACATTGTTGACTTCCACTGAGTGAGCCTCAAACCACATAAACAAGACATAAGGATTTTAGACCAGTTACAGTCAGCTCAACCATCATGAACTCACAAGGCTAGAGATTTGGATGCATGGTTGAAAACGATAATAACTTCAGTCCCTTAACTAAAACACTAGGTTTATGTACTTTTTGTCACCTACGTCGTCGTTTCGTATCCACCTGAAGCACAATGTTGATGTTAGAGTTATAACAAATACATACTAGCTGAAGAATATAGTAATTACAATTAACACAGTTCAATCTGAAACTTAAACCATACAAGCAGTCATAAAAGCCCCTATTTATTCTCAATAAAAAAGATAATATAACCAGTGATTACCATTAGGATGTCATTAAGGTATGAGCTCTAGATTTATACATAAACTAATATGTAACAATGTAAACCACATTGATGCATGCCCATTGTATTGCCATACATGGCCTGGACAAATTTCATTGCAGAAGTTCACTACTATCTTTATATACGAACTCAACAAACGACGACAGAGGCTTCCACTTAATTAAGAAATAAAAATTACTCAGCATTCTCCTAAGTAATAAGGGCATAGTCCATGTTCTATCTCCTTAGTGTGCACATAACTGACTCCCACTTACCCATCAAGTCATCATAACATATGTCTCAATACCTGTGACTGTCATCAGTCTACGGCTCCGAAAACTTCTCAATTCAGAAATTGAAACCACAAAAACAGGCATATATATAAAAGATAAAACTAGCCAAATGAACAACTAAATTGGTGACTATAGGAAATAAAGCAAAGGGAGGCGAGACCATAGCTTGGGAATTACGAGTAACACCAAGTTTTGAAGGTTCTTCTGCCTCCTTTTGGTAAGAAGCTTGATTTTAATGTGAGTTTTCCTGTTATTCATCAATGCATCATGAACTGATGATCAATTAGGAGAAACATACCATTTTGACCTAAATTCATCCCGAAGGCCAAATGATCCTGCAATGGTGAATGATTATATATATGTATACATATAATTTGGATGGGACGTAATAGTCTGCTTATGTGGATAAAATAAATGGCATTTCAATGCCACCTTGATATCCAACACAAATGCATGTTAGCTTAAGAAGAGGCAAGATTTAAACTATGTGTTGAATAGCTAGAAAAAGACTACCAAAAAAGAATTGAAGTGCAAGCAATTAGGAATACCTTTGTATCTGAGTGTCTGGAGGCGGCATGGGAATTCTGCAACTTCTTTTGACCTTCAGATGAACAACTTTCACAAAAGAAATGGTCAAGTCTTTTAGCCTCCTCTGCAGTCATTTCTATACAAGCAGGATGAAACCTGAATCAAAAGTATATGCTGAATATGGCAACAGTTTTTACAGCATACCGTATAAATTGGATGCATTTTATTCACAGAATTCATAGTTAACAGAAAAGGAACCTTTCAAATTAGACATGAAAGTAAATCAGACAAAAAGGTCTTTCCAAGTCTGGTCTCTCTAGAAGTTCAGAAATTAAATTTCTTAACTAGGATCAAGCAGAACATAAACCTCAACCTAAGAAGGTAAATAAAGTGAGAATGTAGCCAAAATCTATGTGTATATAGCGTGTTTCTTATTTGAGACGTCACCCCATGTTAATATTCTTTTGTTTCACAAAATAGCTCCTTGTAGGCTTATGTAAGGCTCAAAGTCAAGCTTCGGTCCAGCACTTTGACATTATAATCTTCTTGCAGAAAGTCGGGTGTCCAGCAAATGACAACCAAGACTTTGATTGCATCACAACTACATAAATGCTTCTACGTAAGCCTACAAGGAGCTTCTTTAGATCTATTTTCTTAAAAGAAAAAGCTAATTAAACCCTAGCCAAACTAGCTTTGAAAAAACTGAGAAAAAAACAATGTTCTGTTTCCACAGCAGACAAGGAGAGAAAGGAGTAGAAGCAAACAAAATATCCTATCATTTCACTACAGGGCCAAAGTTTAAAACTTCTTTACCCATTTTTGCTCCTACTTTTTTTACACTTAAGATTGGCATAAACCATGGGAAAGGGAGGAGATCTTAATTCGAAAGCAATACCTCTATGTTTTTCTAAAAGCTCCTTAACCAAGAAGCTCCCTAAAAATTTTTGCTCCTGTTTGAATTGGCAGCCAAAATAATATCAATTCAGTCTTTTTCAAAAACGACCTGCTAACTAATGACAGCTAAATCCATAGCCTATCCTGCTATCCACCACTCTTAACAAATTGCTTTTACGTCCTTGAATAGATCTATATGAGAACTGATTTCGAGCAAGCTTATAAAAATAATTTTTTTTTTTAGAAAAAATAATTCAATTATAGCTAGAAAAGCATTCGGGAGAGAACTCTTCTTGCATAACTTCAAAAGCTTCATACAAAATATTCATCCACAATACCTGACATATAAAATATGAATCCAACTTACCAGTCACTGCAACCTTCGCACTGAACCATTAAGTCATCAGGATTGTAAGGCATCTCACATTTGCAATAACTGTCACATTACAATAACAAACTAGAAAAGGTTAAATAAATTTTAAATACAATAATCGAAAACCCAAAGTTGCAAAACACTCCATCTTCATTTTAAACACAAAAAAAAAATGTACTTGTTCTAAACCAGTTCCTTCCCATAAGTTTGTCATTTTGATTAATAAAATTTCGATAATTTAAGCAGGAATTAGCATGTAATTAAAAAATATAAAATATTCGAAATTAAGTACCGTACATATGTAATTACAAGATAAAAAAAGAGAGAGGAATGTACACGGCGACGCGATCGGGGTTGAAAGCACCAGTGGAGGAATTGTATTCGAAACGACAGAAGAAGTCGTCGTTTCCAACGGCGTCAAGCTTGGTATAGCTTGTGAAGCTATGGACCGTACACTTTCCTTCGATGGTATCAGCGCTTTGGACATCGTAATGATCAGACAAGAAAACCTCTTTAGATCCGTGGAACTGTCTCCTCCCTCCGATCGACTCCTCCGGCCTGTAATACCACCTCACGTGCACCTTCACGTTTCCCCCTCGTGCGTCCGCCTCGATCCGCTCGATTCTCGCCACGTATTGTGGCTTTGATTGATCCGCTGGTCGCATCAACACGCAGTCCTCCGCTGCCAATCACCACCACAACTTTTAGAAAAACCTTAACTCGTACAAATATCTCTCTCTCTCTCTCTCTCTCTTTTGCTCCCGTCTTTTTATTTCTTTTGGCTTACCTTTAATTGTTTTGTTGATGTGTTTGACTGTATAAGAGTCTAGAGTTCTCCTTGGTGCTTTAGCTTTGGCCATGGAAGAAAAACAGACAAAAAAAAAAAGGCTGAGCAATTGTTCAGAGAAATGCAATTACAAAGGCATGCACAAGGACAAGACAGAGATCGTGGACTGACAAAAACGAAATTAAAAAAAAAAATTTATTTTTTTCTATATTTATTTTTGGTCGGGAGGTGAGATTTAGTGTTTCCTGGAGTATGGGAAAGTTGTATTTTGGATAATCAGCGTTGGTTGTAGATATGATAATTTTTGTTTTTATATAATGTAAAATATTTTTTACAAATAATTTATATATTTATATTTTGTTTTATATAAAAATTATATATCATAATTTATATAAATATAATTTTTTTTTTTAATTTTATTAAATTTATTTTTATTAAAATTTTAAATCATATATTTTTATATTTTTTGTTTGTATTATTTTTATGTTGTATTTGAAATTATTATGGGTAAGTGATTGAATTTAAAGAGGGATAAGATTGGAATTGCGGTGAAAATTGGAGGGGTTTTAAGGGAGATAAAAAGGATGTTAGGATCCACGTCAGCAGGTGATTGGATTGGGTTGTGTCTGTCACAAGATTTTCAAGATGGAGGAGGATGGAGCGGTGACGTTTACGTTACAAGATTGGAATGAGGAATGTCTGCGTAGAAATGAGCACAGAGAATAAAATGGCGTGAAAGAAAATCTAACGGATGAGGGAGATGATCGTAAGCAATGTCGGCAAATCAGGGGGCCGTGGGGTACAAGTTTTGACTCCGTCAGGTAATTTGTTCATTGTTTGAATTTCGAATCGTATCTTTTTGTTCGAACTGAACCTTTGATGTTTCAGGAACCTGTTCGGTCCTAATAAACAAAAAAAATAAAGCCAACATAAATGATAGGAGAACTTGATTTTTAATTTCAAATAAATGAATAAATGCACAAAGTCAAAAAGTTAAATCATCCTGTTTTACTCATAAAAGATTGTTTCAATCCATAAAAATTATTTTTTTAATGTAAAAGTTTTAAGCTTGAATTTAATTTATAATTATTTATTGAGATAATTTTGAATATATAATTTTAATAATTATTTTATTAATTATGATACGTTTTATCTTAATTTAAAAAATTAAATAATTTATTTATCTTAAATTATTAAAAAAATCACCTTATTTTTAGAATTTTTATAAGTAATAATGTGTATATGCATATATATATATATAAGTTGAGATCTTTAGATTTAATTTCATAAAAACTATTATAAAATTTTTATGTGATTTAAATTTTAATTTAATAAGTAATAATTCGCATAAAATCAATTCCGTAGAATTAAAAATTATATATATTCAGATAAAAATGATCTAAGAACTCAATTTTAAACTGAAAGTTTGTCAAAAGAGGAATAGAAATTATCAATTTGGTTAATTGATATAAGTATTTTTTATTCTTTTAAAATATATAGCTTAATCATTTTGAAGGGTAAGACTCGTTGAACATTCTGAGCCATGTAATAAAAATGGTTATCAGTTGTTGATATTGCAAGACAATGTTAAATCAAAAACACTTTTTCTAGGGTGAATCAAACCCCCATGAGCTAGGTTTAAAGGAAGGCTGTGCCAGCTTCTTTATCAGGGAAAAAGTGGGTTTGGCTGTCCTTCAATTTCTAACCTCACCTTTAAGGCAATTCTTAGGTAGAAAGCAATGGGAAGACCCCCAAAAGATCTCCATTAACACGGGAAAAACTGGAAAAAAAAAAAAAAAAAAAAGAGAGTCCAAATTGACCGGCCATCATGAATTCCATTTGTAATTTTCAGCCCCCACAAGAATAAAAATTTGGAAGTCTAACCCCATCCATTGTTGGTAGTACAAACTGGCCAAAGTAGTATGTCATATCCTCCTTTTCCTCTACTTTCTTTCTTTTTAGGTTATATATATATATATATATATATGTATGTATGCATGTATGTCATAGCATCATCAAAGCTTACAGGCACTTCAATTGAGAAGCCACTCAACCAGGATCTGGGAAAATGGTACCTGAAAACATGACATGTTTGAAAGATACAGTTTACTAGTATTTCAATCTTTTCATCCTTGAATATTGGTTTTCACGTTTCAGAGAGCTTGTATCATTGCTGAGTTTGGATTGCCGCAACCAAAATGACGTCTGGTCTGACGAAATGAACCGACATAGCTGCATTCACTGCAATTACCAGTAGCTTGAAGGAACAAATATCTGTTGCTTCATATCTATTTGCACCATTTCCCTCTTGTTAATGGATGTAGTTTCTGAGCTGCCAAGGATCCTTGGATCCAATCAATTGATGAGATAGAATTTGGAGAACCTAGATTGTTGGCTTCTCCCTTGAGGCCAACCTGTATTATAACCAGGAAACAATCATGAGGAAGAAAGTCAATGGAAAGCCATGAAATAATAACCGGGAAAGCACAAGAGGAATTGGTCGACCTTACATGACCATTTCTGCTAGGTTATGTCTCTTTATCCTTCAGCGAGCCGTATAGTATAAACTTAATTTTCTGGCCTGCGTTTCCTAGGCATGAACGTAGGAACGGAAGCCTCTTGGACCATGGCAAGGAGCAAAAATTACTCTTATCTACAAGGATACAGGGTTTCAATCATTTGCAGCGGAAGACTCTATTCAAGGAGAAGAATTTAGGAGCCTTGTGACTGACGTTGAAGTTGTTGTCATCGATGGACACCATTTTATATCCAGCAGCAGAAAGCTGAACAAGTTACCACTGAAATTCAATTCTTTTTTCAGCAATCATTCATATAATTTCTTATAGCTAAGTTTCAGCATCGTAAAGTTTTATTCTCTTACTTGTTCAAAAAACCATTTAGTATTGAATGGAGTTACTAATTATTTCCAATTTTCCATATTTTCTTTTTTCCTGCTACAAAAATTGCTCATAAAGGGGAAGAGAAAAATGGATTCTCTTCTCTGGTAGCTCGCGTTACAGCAGCAGCTGGCGCTACTGAGCTAGGCCCGATGCGTTCCTGTAAGACGTTAATGAAACCCATAGTACTGAGCTGTTAGTGTTCATTATTGTGCGGTTCATGTAGAAACGGGAAATGTACTTTTCTGCTTTTAATTAATTGAGACAGAGAAGAGGGAGGGCAATCCTGCAGTTAATGAAAAAATTCTAGATAAAATAAAATTAAAAAATTATGATAAGATAAAATAACATTATGAATGTGATTAGATTAAATAATATTATTTTATTTTATATTTAATGTATATATAAATTAGAATAAAATAATTTATTTATTTGTTAAAATTATTTTTTATCAAAATTTTTATAATTTAAATTATTAAATAACTTTTAAAAGTATAATTGAATGTGTAAGTTTAATCTCATATATTAAAAATAATTGAATCACTTTATGTTAAAATGATGATTAATCTTTCATGTAATCTTATTTATTTTTTTATATATAAATTAAATATCATATAAAATGATTATCATCATAACTTATTCATCATTCTATGCATCAAATATAATCTAAAATCATGTTTAGTACATAAGATAATGGATTTGGTACGTAAGATAATGAAATTGGTACATACGATAATAGATAAATAAGTAATAATTATTTTATATTATATTTGATTTATATCTAAAGAAAGAAATAAGATTACAAGAAAAATTAATCTTTTTCTTAATATAGGATAATTTAATTTTTTTCAAAGTAAAAAAATTATTTTTAATTTATAAAATTGAACTTATATATAATGTTATATCTTTAAAAATTATATCAATAATTTAAATTATTTAAACTTTGAAAAATGATAATTTTGATTAATAAATAAATTATTTTATCTTAATATTTGAATACATCAAAAATAAAATAAAATAATATTATTTAATTTATTTTTATTTATAATATTATTTTATTTTATATTATGATAATTTTATATACCAAACACATACTTAAATATTTTAATTGTTCCTGAAAGATTTTAAGGAAAATAAATGCAAAGGTAAACAAATAGTAGCAAAAGAAAGTAGTGCCGTAGTAGTTATACAATTAATTTTTGCAAAATCAACTGCCTTTTATCTAATAAAGTTTGTACTACTTGAGAGTCAAGTCGCTAAAATGTAATAAATTCATTAAAAAAGGTCATTTCTCATTACAAAGACTTGCAGTAAATCGCACTAAAATAAGTTTGGAGTACCACGATGGGAGTGCGAGTAAATGAAATGAAAATTATACATAGGGTAAGAAGAATGATAATGTTTTTATTTTCATTTGTCACAATCAAATTAATTAATTTAACTTTTTTATATTAAATTTATTGAAAATAATGATTCAAATCCTATAAAAATTTTATTTGAGATTTATTAGATATTACTGGATGGACAATAAGACTTGCAAAAGAAGAATTTTAAGAGAAAAAAGATTCTTAATAGGTAAGTTTGACTTATAAGAGAATAATTCTAAAAGAAAATAGATTTTTAATAGGTAAAATTGACTTACAGAAAAAGAATTCTAAGAGGAGAGGGATTCTTAATAGGTAAATTTGTATGGTTATAAATAGGTAAAATCTCTACAGGATTATATATGAGATAGTATGTAAGCATTGTGGGTTATGGGATAGATACTCCATAGGATAGTTTTTTTTTGTTTTTTTTTCGCTTTTGTATTAAGCCTTTAGATTTTTTTTAATAAACGATTTGCTACAAAAAGATTTTTTTTTAGTGAACGTGTATAATGTATGAAAGTATATGAATATGTGCAGATATGATGTATGAGAGTATATGAGTATATGTTTTGTTATGTTGAAAAGGTACACAAGGTTTTGAGTTTATATTTGTTTGGATTGAGAATACTTCATAGGACTAGAGGAGATTAAATGTTTCTTATGAGTATTGATTGTTGAGTGAAATTGATGATTTGATGTATGTTTATAATTCTCTACAACTAGTAGATGTTGTTTCTCATCTATGGATGTAAGTTAATTAGATCGAACCACATTAACTTGTTATTTCTTGTGTGTTTGATTTTACTTTCGCTGATGTGATTGGATTGAAGGCTTCTAGTCCAATAAATGATATTAAAGTTGTGGTGTTTCCCAACAAAATTAATTAACCTAACTTAAATGGATGCAAATTTATTCAATTTATACAGTTAAAGTTATTATGCTTAATTCAATTAGTCAATGATCAGAACTTGGTTAACACAACTAAATTTCTAATTTGTTCAA